TGTGTGTGTGTGTGTGTGGGGGTTGTGGGGGTTGGGGTTTGGAGCTACAGGGTTGTGGGCTTTAGGGCTGTTTAGGAGGTTTTCAGGGTCGGAAGGTTTTTTCCAAGTCTGAGGCTCAAGGGTTTAGAGTTCTATATAGGGTTAATAGGGTGCAGGGCTCTAGGGCTCTAGGGTGATAAAAGTGTTGGGCTAAAGGGTTTAGGGCTCTAGAGCTCTAGGGTTGTAAAAGTTTTGGGCTAAAGGGTTTAGGGTTCTAGGGCTCTCTGGGCGTCAGGGTCTAGGCTTCAGGCTGTCCACCGTGCCCGAGGAACGCAGAGCTCCATCTCTTGACCAAGCAAGGAAGACTTTGAACCATGGCCAGCTTCTTGTGTCCTTTTCAATTCCTGTAATGAAGGCACATTTTTCGCGACACTAGCAGGACTCTTGGACGCCGCAGCGCGGCAGTGAAGTAAGCTGAGATGGACCCTCCACGTTTAGAGTCCTAGTCGTGGTTGCAAGGCTTCCGAAACCGCCTGCGTACAGCCTGCAGTGTTTCTCAGTGCTCCAGAAGGACCGTCTTACGCAAGGCCTACTACGTGCGTGAGCCCGACTATCTTTTCAATACGGCTCACCTCAGCTTGAAGCTGAAACCCAATATCATGAACAACGAACACTGAACCCGAATTCCGAACTCACAGCGCGCCGAGAGTCACAGGGAAGGGTCGGAAGTCTTGCTCAACCAAGATCTTGGAGAGCTCTTCCGTCTGACGAGGGACAGCATGCTTCCGCTTTTTGCGGTGTAGGACCAGGAGTTGTACCAGGGGGAAAGAGGGTTCGGATGAGCAACGGTACGGGCTTTACTGGACAGTTCTTCGACGTGCAACCATCGCATGCCCAAAGAAAACACGCAAGCCTAGCTCCTGTTGGCCCAAACCTAGAGGCTGCCTGTGAAGCTTTCAACCATGCAAACTGAAAGCACAACTGAGCAGTCTGGCCTGTAGGTGCTCCTCCACGCTTCCTGCCTCTTCTGTCATGCACTGGTAGTGGTGATAGTCCACCACTATGCGCCCGGAGACCTTACAACTGACACCGGTGTATCTCCGTGTCGCTGAGGTGCAATAATCACTGCTGACTTTCAACTTTCACTCTCGAGTCTGCCCTTCTTGTCATAACAATCAAATTATCACTGCCCCTGCTTCTGCCGACCCTCGTCCTCCTGCTGCTACACACACGGCGATTACAACCAGTACTACCCATGCTAAACTTCCACTATCACCCCCACTGCCCTACAACGACAACGACGACGACTAATACTACTGCTACTGCTACTTCGACTGCTACTGAGATTGCGATTGCGACGGCTACAGCCACTGCGACAGCTACGACCATGATTACTGCTGCTGCCACTCTTCTTCATACCCCCTCCTACAACTCCTACATGAGACGGTCAAGCTCGCAACCGAGAGGATGTCGCCTAATCCCGATTCCTTGCACCTCCGAAGGGCCAGCTTAACAAAATGTGATGCATTTCTTCACGCGAGGTCTATACCAATCTATGCAACATTATCGCATCAAACACCAGTAGCCTACCATGCAGGTTAAGGACTGGGCCTCTATCAAACCCTTGTCAGTCGCAGCCTCAAGGTCAAATCTATGGGGTTCGGCTCAGGTGTGGTCGACTCGTGGGCTCAGGCCTTTAATCATCTCAAGCACTTCAACCGAAGAATCCCGCTACGAAGACTTCGGAGGTATTTAACACGAACATACCATAATATGACCATAAGTTCAGAAACCAGAAAAGCCGTTGTGAAAGATTCTCACGGACGCAGTTTCCACAGTTTGCTTCTAAGCTGTGGCATCCTCCGAAGTATGGAAGCATTGTCGTTTAAGCCTCCAGCTCTAGCGTACGAAAGCGAATCGTGCGGAACATGTCGAATTCTGCCACTGCCTGCCACCTTCCAAGGACAGGTCTTCAACATCCTCCATGCTCAGCTGGTTTCCTGCTGCCTATATTCAAAAGACCCCACTGGGCTTAGACTATAGAGGAGTCCTTGATGTAATTTCAAGTTTTCTTGTGATGGCCAGGGTGCTCCCTGAAGCTTATCCAAGGTCCAGCGGTCGATGTCCCAGCACGTGTCGAGCACCTCGACATACCGAACCTATGTCTTTGAATGGTTTCACATCGTTTAGCCTAACGTGTATATTTGCTCATGTACTCTTGCCGGAATCCCCTTATCTGAGTAAGCAAGTCAAGCAGCCATATCCACCAAAAGCTAATGTTCGGGTGGCTGGTTTCCCGAATCATTACTGGACCACTTTCTTGGTATCAATGCCGGTGTTGAGTTGCACAAATAAAACACGACAACACACTTCATCCAGCCCGCAAATCCCAAGGCTAACCTAAACCGCTAAACCCTAAACCGCTAAACAAGCCCGGGCAGCCAGAAGGACATCGCGGTGGAGCAGCGGCTCGACGAGCTCTGCCGCCTCGGCATAAAACCTGGCCACTTCCACCTTCACGGCATCTTGCTTGGGTTTGGAGCTTAGGGCTTAGGGGTTTTGGTTTGAGGGTTAGCGGTTTAGGGTAGGGGCTTTCCCGATGAGGTTTGTCTAAGGGAGCCTAGAGGGTCTACCTTAACCCACCAAAACCTTCTTTTTTGTAGGGTCCTTATAAATCCCATATTCGGGTTTTTTTATAAGAACCTACAAAACAGAGGGTTTTGATTGGTTAACGTAGGGTCTAGAGATGTCGGGCTTCGGATTCAAAGGCCGGAGACATTCAGCTGGAAGTCTGCGACTGCAAGGGGCTGCATCATGCCACCCTGAGTCGCTTTTACAATCCTCTGCCACCAGCCCAAGAATCCCAGGTTTTGCGCCGGGAAGGATGACAAGAACTGTGAGGGTTCTTTAAAGCCTGAAACCCCGACCCTTAAACCCTAAACCCTACGCCCTTAACCTTGAGTCCACCCTGAACTACCCTGAAGCCATCGCTTGCAGCCCAGGCACCCAGTAGCTCCGGGGGTACTCTGGCGTAAAGCAGGAGACCATAGACGCCTTATTCAGTTCTTGCAAGAGTTGCTGGCGGCGGGTTACCGTCTAAGGCTTATTAAAAGGGTTGCTATAATAATATACAGAGTGGTTGGTTGGAGGGTTGTTCAGGGTCTGGTCGAGGAAGTTTAGAGGTTTCGGGCCTAAGAAGTTTAGGGGCCTTGGAAGCGTAGGAGCTTAACTATAGTAGGCTTAAGAAGTTGTTAAAGGGCTCAGAGTTTAGGAGTACTTTACGGATTTTGGGAGAAGCAAGTGCTGAGCATGATCGAGGGAAGCTAGGAACTCAGCTCGTCCAGGTTCAAGCACCGGTTAAAACAATGCTCCTCAAAATAAGCCCTCAAGGGTGCAGAATACATCTTATTTGGCTTTTGGTTTTAGGACAGTAGGGTCCAACAAACATCTTAATTCAATACTTGGGTTTAGAAGAGCAGGCATCTGGCTTGTATTTGTTTGGGGTTTAAACTTTAAATTTCAGGGTCTATGGTCCCGGGGCCTAGGGTCTAAGCAAGACACCCACAATAGAAAAGTCTCCAGCTGGGTCACGACTCGGTCCATCACTGTCTGCTCCTTTTCCGCTACCTGGTTCAGGGGCTCAGGCCTACGTACGGGGGCCTTAACAGCGGAAGTAGGAATAGAGGGCCGCTGAAACCCAAACCGCAACACCCGACTAAGCTGCACCTGTCGAAACGAGTCGGGGAGCTGTGCGACATCAAAGATTCTGCAAGCATAGGTCCCCGGACAAGTATAGAGGCCCACGACGACCAGCAAACCACTCAACGGGAGCACTAGCAAATCACAGGATACCACCAAGCAAACACCGTGATACCTCGAGAGACCACCCGGACACCACCCCTTGAAACGTGTTCCGCATCGTTCGGGGAAAGAGATACCAGATCAGGATCTCAAGTCTTGAAGCTAGGCTCTACCCGTTCGTGGACCGCAGTCATGCGAAAAAACCAGGGCTCTGCTCATGCCTTTAGCGCGCGGTGTGGTTCTTATATCATGCCTCCCTGTCTCAGATTCAAACATCACAACAGTACGCAGCGTCGAAACCCATGCCCCCCGCCGCCAAACCGCGTTTAGCGATCCTTCGGATAGCCGCGCAGCTCGGAACTCAAAAGTGTAACCGGAATCTCAAAGCCCTATACAGCCTAAACCTGAAGCCACAAAATTCTAAAGCCCGGAACCCAGAAACCCTTCTCCACCCTCACTCAACCCTTATGGGACACTACGGGGCTCTGAACCCCAAACCCTAAACCCTAAATCACACTAAACCCAGCGCCTCGTTACCAAGGCCGAGCCCAAGCAGCGCCTGCTCGGAGCCATCTACGTTTTTCTGTTTCGGTCTTTGAGCTCCAAGGCTCTTTGGGTGGGTGTGTGTGTGTGATGCGTTACTGGTGTAATGGGGTTTTGGGTGGCTGTATGGCGTTTTTGGTGCTTATGCTTCTGAATGTTTTTGGCTGGGGTGGTTTGGCATGTAGGCTTCAGGGTTAAACTGCTAAACCCTCAGCCCAGGTCAAGCACTACCTTCTGAAGAACTCATAACAATAGGGAACCCTAAAAAAGGTAGGTTCTTTAGGGTCAAGCACTAAGATTTAGGATGCTCGGCTTGAAGGCATCGGCTTTCAGGACGCCAGAAGAGGTGGCGCAAGCCGGCCTGGTGAAGCTTTAGGGTTTAGGGGTTTAGGGATTAGGGTTTAGGCACTACATGATGCGTTGAAGTACAACTTTCCCGAGGCAACACAGGGCTTTAGGGATTGTCACATGAGACAGAGAGCGTACTTCCAGTAACGAGACTCGACTCACGCCCTTTTTTTTCTTGTGCTCTTGTCAGAGAGACAGAAGGCGTCACGTAATGGCCGAAAGGCCCTAAAACCTTAAACCCGACGTGCATGGAGCTGCTCCCCACCTTCTGGTGGCCCCAGCGCGCTGCGACGGCACGGACAATCTCCAGGTTCTTCCTGAGGAGCGTCGGAAATCAGGCTCCGAAAAGGGTGGAAGTAGCATGGCGTTTGGGGTGTAGGACTTGCAGGGTCTAGCAGCGCTTTGAGTTTGGGGTTGTGTGAAGGTCTTCAGCATGTACGACTAGTGTGTCAGGGTTTAGGGGTGCAGGGTGCAGGGTGAAGGAGTGTACCGGAACCCCTCCCCTTCCAAAGCACCCTTAATAGTGCCTTGCAGTCCGTAATGGCGGGCATGTCGCGTAGACTACGTAGAGCAAAGTTGGGACCGGTAGGTCTACGTGTTTGGGCTTCGGGGGGTTTAGGGGTTTACGGTTCACTGCTTTGGTCAAACTTGAAAAAACTCGATGCTTCCGAACCGCCGCAGCCAACCCTATAAGCCGAAGCAAGTCTGACACCTAAAACAGTGAAGTGAAAACCCTAGGCCCGGGATGCGCACGCGTTTCACACCCCTGTGGATAAAAGACGACCCTAGGATAGGTGCCTGAATCAGTAGTTAGGGACCTTCGAGTATAATGATACTGGGTTTAGGCTTTTGGGTAGTGCTGGTATAGCTATGACCTTTATGAGAACCGCTCAGAACCAAAGAGTCGTGCTCAAGAATTTAGTTGATATCCATGATAACCCCATCGGTGGGTTTGGCATACCACGCCCAACACCCTCATCAGGCTGAATCCAGGTATACTAAACTCCCACTCCGGGGACCCTAGCCCAAGCAACCTGTACCCCATAGTATTCCCTTAGGTTCCATACGAAGTTACAGTATGTTGCAGCCGCAAACGTTATTCTACAATTGCAGTGTAATATACCCCAAACCCTATTCAAAATTGTTGAGGCCTCTAGTCTATGTTATGGCGTAGGGTGTAGGGCAGGGCACTCGTTCCCCCACTTGGCCACCGAGCTTCTCACGGTGCCTAGGCTCGAGCCAGTTCACTTTCCCACTCTGGCCGCTGTGATGTTCACCTGCTGTTAACTGTACGTAATGTAGGGGCCTAAATAATTAGAATAGGGTTTTGGGGGTACCTTATTATAGTTTAAGTATAATAAGGAAACATATAATTTGAAAAATGTTAGCAAATATTTAGGCTTCTATATCAGCTCTTGGGTCTTTGGTTCAGGCATGTTCACCGGTTGTGGCGTGAGCTCAAAGTCTAATGTTCCCACACATGAACATGTTTTCTGCAAGGGGCATGTACTTTTTTGGAGCATCAGTGCAGAGCAGGATCGTCTTCCTTCGTAGTCAATGTTGCGACGTAACACGGTGCAACCACCACGTGCTCCAGCAGCCCGTTCAAATTACTCATGCTCCGACGAACCCTAAACCGGAACTGCCCGAAACGCTAATCATTGAACCCTCAACTTACAAGCCCAATCTACAAACTATGCTATAAATTTATAAACTCGCCGTATCTTTCGGCCTGCTGCAATCATCTGTCGGACGCTCGGAGTCTTTCGTTTTATTCTCAGGAGCCCTCAATGGGGCTGCATGCATGCAATACCCTGATCCCTAAACCCCCTTGTGCATCCAGGCCTATTGTAACTGCCGGATACTTTGAAGAACAAAAGAAAAAACCCAAACCCCTGAACCCAGAACCCCCAAACCCCCAAGCCCGAAGGGGAGCCCAAAGCCCAAACCCTGGTGTTTGGGACAGGGCACCGTTCTGCGAGCCCGACATGCCGTGCAGGTCCAGAAGCACTTTCAAGCCGTACCTCTCCGCCCAGCCGAACCTGGGTTTAGGGTTTAGGGTTTGGAAGCACCGGAAGAATCAGGGTTGACGAGTCAGGAGGCTAGATATCTTCCCAGCCCAGCAGCCCTTACTTGAAGAGTTATACCCGAAGCTCGAAAGGCGCCCTTGAATCAGATGATTTCAGCAATATTCCGTAACCATAAGGGGGTTTGAGCAACAGGCTTTTGGGTGAATTATGTTATACTTGACAGCAGCAACCCGAAACCCTAAGCACGTAGTATCAACTGTAGCAGCGGATGCGAGGCGAGATCGCAGAGGCAGATCTTCCGACAAGTAAGTGTCCTAGCATTTGCGCAGAATATAGACATCGGCCGAATTTAGAAATGCCGTCCCCCCTTGTAGCCACCAAGGAAGCATACTGTAGTAGAACCTGAAAACCTTAGCTTAAGCATCAAGACACCTGACTCCTAAACCCTAAGCCCTAAGCTGGGCTAGGCCACGTTTTTCATCCCGTTGCTAGATCCCGAAGCCCGCATGGAAGTGGCTCGGTGTTCAGGATTCAGGACCTGCACTCTCCTAACTCGGACTGCGCAGGCGCTCAGGACTTCGGGATTTAGGGTTTAGGGGTTTCGGGTTTAGGGTTTTAGGGTTTAGGGGTTTAGGGATTCGAGATTGGTGACGTTTGAAGGTTCTGAGATCTTCCCATGTCCTTCGCACCGAGTTGCAAAGCATCAACCAGGTGCTGTGTAGAGAGATAAGGTGTGCCTGACAGGGTCGTGCGGGTATCCTTAGAGAGGCTGTCACTGCATGCTGCAAGCACGACGGTGAACTGCAGATGACTGTCCCTACATAATTATGTACATAAATACAGAAAGACTTGTGAGGTCGCAGTCAGCTATGCGAGGGAATACGGAACCCAGACTATAGGACTCGTACTACTAGGATGCTTAAGATAAGGGCCCCGCCCAATGAAACAAACGCCTAGGGTTTAGGGTTTAGAGCATAAGCCTGCAAACCCCCTATCAAACCTGTATAAGCCCAACAACATCTTTTGACACCCACAGTAAACAAAAAAAACATAGAAGGCGGGACAAGGTCTGCTCTGAGCAATTCGAGGATTCAGTTCCCAGATCCTCGAATAGAAGACAACTAAGAAAAAATAGACACACAAAGGAAACCAGGGTGTAGGGATTGGGGCCCCCAAGATTTCAGGTGCTGTTGGCTTTAGGTCTTAGCGCTTTAGGGCTTCACGGCTTTAAGGTCTTCGGGCTCTGGGTTTAGGGGGGAAGGGTTTTCAGGGGTGGGACATTGAAGTACGGTTGATGATATACATCCTGCATTACCCATAATAAGGAATATACCATAATTCTCATAGTTCAGGGTCCTTAAGGCAATGCAAGATTTATACCATCAACAGTAGGTTTCAGTGAGGGGTCATGCACGCAGTGGAGTTGGCTGAATCACATAGCACTGCCTGCTCACGGTCCCTAAGTCTATACTTCCTAACGCTAGGTCCACACACCCTGCACCATGGCTAGATGGCTCCTGCCTTTGGCATACTCATCAAGGCACCAATACCTGAGAAGGCAACTGGGGGACTCAAAATTGAGCCTGGAATAGCTAAAACAACCAGCAGGCAACCAACTCCAAATGATACCGGCCACCTACGATGAAAACACGGAGGGAGGGTTCAGATCTTACTGACTGGGTTCGTCATTCGGGGACCGCCGTTTTCGACAGCTTTCTGTCGTCCACGTTGGGAAATCAAAGGGGCCTGTGATCCACGGCTACGCGGCTGAGAGGTATTGGACGCGGGTGCGCAGCGAAGCTGTAAGCTTCCGCCGTCTTTCTCTATTCCCCAGTCTTCCGAGTGCACCTTAACTATCACTAAGTTATCTTCAATCAGTCTGTGCATTTGCACTGTGCTTTAACTCATCCAGAATGTCTGCTTGACTTCCAAATTATCTGAGAACTAGCTTTTATTTGGCTGGTCTCCGTTATCTACACGAGGGATCCTTCAACACCCAAAACCTGAATCACACACAAACATACACACACACACCCACCCGGGGACACACACACACACACCCACACACACACACACACACACCTCAAACCCTATATCCTCAACCGGTTTAGGCGTAGAGCCCTGCGCCCAAAACCCTCAAGCAATGAAGCCCTCTAACCCCTAAACCCCGCAGCCGCTAAACCCTAGAACCAACAAGGCGCTCTTCACAGCTCGAGTAGGCTTATGCTCTACATAAGACTAGAAGCACATTGAGAGCACATTGAGAATCGAAGGAATGGTCCAACGAATTATTCAGACCTCTACGATGTGTCCTTGCCTACGAAATCGAAGATCCTTGCAACATGGGGCATCGAACACTGGAAAAGGGCTTGGCGTCACTTTATGGTTTAACGGTATAACTTTATAGTCTATACGGCCAAGAGGGGATAACGCGACCATTGTTCGTATCTCTACCTTACAGTGAACACCAGAGAGTTGGAACATGGGAAGGGGACAGTGTAGGGTGTTGTCCTTCACAGTATCACCTATAGATCCCTTTCAAAGAGCCCTATACCCCCTAAGCCCTAAACCCAAAACCCGAAACCCCCCCTGAGGCCTTGCAGGAGTCTTGAGTACTAAATCCTGCGACCTAAACCCTACGGGCCTTGGATCCTAGAAGCCTTGAAAGAAGAGTCCTGGGAGCATAGTCATTTAAGTTGCAAGCATGTGCAATGCCCAAATGTTCGTTGAACAATGCGTCTCAACCCCTTCCCTGGACATCTACATGTGCAGGGCGGAAAACGAGAACATGGCATGGACGAACTGCCAAAACAAAAGCATTGTGAGCAAGTGCATGCTTGTGGTGGCAAGGGCAGCAGGGATGCCTAGCCTAGTCGCCGCTACAAGAAGCAGCCAGCACACATGATGCCTGAAGACTTTATCAGCATGAGTATCGAGTATTGCAACTTGCTACGATTAGCACTTTGATATCTAATCTTATAACATGTTACAGCAACTGACGGCTCAACAAGTCGAGAATCGGAAAGTTAGTAACACTTGCCCTAAACCGCGCAAGCGAAATCTCGTCATCATTAATCCAGAACTTACACTCGTGTTTGTTGATAAGCCAATGGAGCCAGGCAACCCGACGGGCAGCCGCACAGCATCTATTCCACCTTCGGTTTTCAACCATCGAATGTCCTGGTCGTATTGATTGATGTTGTTACTGGCCTGTCGATGATCTTCATAGTTCCTGGTCGCGTTACCCCCTGATTCGCGTCTCTGGCTTGGTGTCTGGTCCGTGGCGAGTGGTCCGGTTTGAGGTCGATTGTTGCTGATGCTGCCGAGGTGGCAAGCAACTCCGATGCACACCGCGTTCAGGAGCAAAACATGCAGCTTCATAACCATTGGGTACTAAGCTCAAGTCAGTCTGTATGTAAACTCCCAAAATTCGAAAACCTGCGAAAGCTTTATAGGCAACCCAGAAACCCGTCTAAAACCCCATGAAACCTTCATTCATACTACCTTTGCACGACAGCTCCGGGCAGTCTTGGGCCGGCGGGGTCCTGCTCCGTGATGAAAGTTCGTCTGAAGTCTCGGACAGCTTGGCCTCAGCAGCTAAGGTGTGGGTTTGGTGCCTGCTTCTTCATGCCCATCAGGTTCAACGCGAGAATCACCATGTCGTCAACGGCATGATGGTGGCGAAGCGATCATCACCAGAGCATAATCGTGAACTGCATGGCGAGCAGTATTTCACAGTCACGTCTTCATCATCGTGACCGTGCCCAGCAGCATCTACGCCGCCACAAACATGAACGCCATCAGGTTTATCAGCACCAGCATCGCCATTATCATCATCGTCGTCACTTTCTTCATTATGGCACGATCACCGTTTTCGTCGCTGTCATCGGCACACCCATGAAGCCATTTCTTCGAAGCCCCCATCATTCGGCTCGGTCTTGTGCATATTTCTGCCTTTATTATTGTTCTTGTTATGGTTCTCCGTGCGTGAACGGAGTTGAATCTGAGGCTCCGGCGTGCCTCAGCTCCTCCGGAAGAGAGCAGGGTCCATTCGTCCTCTGCCTGGGGTATCAGGCGTAGGCCGTCTGGTCGAGACAGCAAAGCTGCAAGGAGCCCCCTAAAGGATAATGCTCTTGCACGCTGCCCAGTGGTCCGTGACTCAACTACTTATAATCAGAACCCTAAACCCTAAACCCTCTACTGACTATGTTGCGTAGGGCTGGAGTCTGCGATTTCGTTTCAGACGGTGGTCCAACTCTGCTTTGCCATCAATACGGTAATCAAAACTGGAATGATGCGGAACGCATGCCTAAAGGTGGCCGCAGCTTGTCCACACGTCTTAGATGGGGTCCACAAACCCTAAACTCTGAAGCTCCAAAACTATACTGCACTTGCCAACACTCTGAGACCACGCGGCTGAAGAAGCCACTGCGAACAGGTCTGGTGCCATCCACTTCTCCAGAACCAGCCAGCCTGCAAAAGATGTTGGGTGTGCGGTTTCGGCGCTGGCACTCCCACACCCTGGCACGGGGCCTTAATGATTAGGCTAGGGTCTTGGCTCCTTTGTAAGATCATATAATAATAAAGTAATAAGGAATCCTATGGAATGCCAGTCCCGGAGCCAAAGGCCAAGACCAGGGCCCTATGCCCCAAGCTCGCAATCTGCCTCTCTAACATAGAAGCATGAACAATTGCCAATATCATGCTGACCAGGTCATACTAATGTTTAATAAAATTAATGCTTAGGGTTGAGGGTGCCGTGACTCCGAAATCCCCAGACCGGGCACCCTTGTCTTCGCTCGGGTCCGGCGGAGCAGCAGGCTTGGCACACTACGGTTCGGAAGTACGTGTGTCGCATGTCATAAGGGACCTACATATATATATATATACATATAAATGAAGCACCATCTTTTTTGACTCTTGTCTGTGTGCAATAGCAATAACAATAACGAAACGTATTTCTTGATCCAGGGCACTCAGTGTGCAAAACGATCTGGCGCTCGACATGTAAATCGTCCGCCTCCTGCTAAGACCCATAACACTGTTGGCGTCGGCACTATATCTGCGCCTGAACTACAACCCCAACGCTGAACTAGAGCCTAACCCCGAACTACACCGTAAATCCCTGTGAAACCTAATACCCTGTGCAATCATAAACACGACAGATGAACAGACTGCAGCACCACAGTTGCGAATGCCCCCAGCTGCAGCTAGAAGCCCCAAGCTGTACCACAGGCTCTGCCTCAAAGGACCAGGTCCAACTGCAAACTTAATATTCGGGGGTGTGTAGTCAGGCCGGTACAACAGGAGCCTAAACCCCAAATACTAAACCTACACCCTAAACCCCAAATCCTAAACCCTTGAACCCTAAAATCCCAAAGCATGGCAGTGTCATACACTGAAAGCCCGGGCCATTCGGTGCCTCCAAGATTCACGCCGCGGAGGCAGGCCCTGCAGCGCAGGCTTGAAGGATTAAGCTTCCGCGGTTAGAGTTCTTTTAGGGTTTACCTGTAACCGAAAAGACCTACCTTTTTAGGAACCTATTTAGGGGTTTGGGAGGGTTCTGCTGCGGTTTGTGGGAGTTGTGCAAGGCTCCAGAAGGGTTCTATAAAGGTCTAACCAGGGATCTACCGGGCTGGCAGAGGGGTTCCGCACGGGTTCCATATGGGTGTCTACTAGGTTGTAGATGGTTATAGAATCTTGGGGCCTTGGTACGTAGTAAGGGTAAATTCTCGGCTGTAGGGGTTTGTAGTATAGCCATACCAACGAAGAGTAAAGTAAACTTTTCATGCCCCTACATGAGGTGACTGGGTCGGACTGCTTACAGTTTTGCGGTTTGAAGACGTTTTCGGATTTTCCAGTAGCTGAGGGCACTTAGAGCTAAACCCTAAACCCTAAATTTTAGACGGCTGACAAGACCTGGCAGGGATATTTTGCTGGGATGGAACGACACAGGCCAGAGTGGCAAAAGCCCCGTGCAAGACACATGGGATTTAGGGTTTAGGGGGGCCGACATAAGCACCACAAGGCAAGCAGAGTTCACAAGTGGCTAACTGTCGGAGGAACTGCCGGTGCACATGACGACAACGAGCGATGTAGTGCGGGCCAGCTCCCCCAAACTGAAGGCCAAGGCTATGCTCGACAAGGCATCCACTCTTAAGCAACCTGCCATGAAACAGACTTCACACAGAGAACATCTCACTAAACGGAGTCTTAAGTACCACCAGTGCCAAATCCCAACGAAGAGCGGCATGGTGAGGTTTTGCACACCAGGCTGATCCAGAGCTTGCAGGATTTCTGGTTCAGGGCTCAGGTCAGGTTTTGGGACCGCAGGATCCCAAGAAGCCTAAAGCTTGCTAAGGCCCTTCAATGGGGGTTCTAGGGTTTGGTTTAGGGTTTGGTTTAGGGTTTAGGGTTTAGGCTTGGGGTTTGGGGTTTAGGGTTTAAGGTTTCGACTCTCACTCTCGCACAAGGCCTGCAAGGCTCCACAGGGCTTAGGGTTTAGGGCAAGCCGCAACGCCCAAAAAATCGGAAGCTGTGAACCTGGCGAGCTTCAAGCGTGTGCTGAGACATCCTAAACCTTCTTCAATCCCCTCAAACTCAACCATAAGTTCCAAACCCTCAACCCCTAAACCCTAAACTCAAACCCCTACACCCTACATCCCCAAACCCTGAACTCAGACCCCTACACCCTAAACCGCCAAACCCTGCACTCAGACCCCTACCCCAGGATCTCCCGAAACTCCGTCCTCTCTGTGTTTGCAGGACTTGGTCTGACGTTGTTTCGGATAACGAAGCTGTCGCCAGAGCCACAGACCTGTCATAAACCCTATAAGCCCTAAACTCTAAGCCCAAAACCCTAAACTCTAAGCCCTAAACATAGGGTTAAGGGTTTTTCGACTCGCACAAGGCAGGCATAGCTTAGGGTTTAGGGGTTTGGGCCTCCCGGTATTTTTTACCCCTAAAAAGCATGCCGCAGGCATGCGGTTTGGGGCTGGTGTAGGGTTTAGGGTGATTCCGGGCACATGTGAACACCCGCGGTTTGGACTGCCGACTCCCCGGTTAGGACTAACGGTGAGGAGTGTGTGCCTGTTGTAAACTCTGTATGCAGATTCTTACTGCATCTTGTGTATGGGCTTCGGCTTGAGCCAGGTTTGCTTATATGCTGCAAGGCATGAGACCGCTTTCTCACATGCACATATAAACATATGTATATATATATATATATCCTCCGTCGTCCTCCGTGGTAGCCAGTAGGTGCCTATCGCAAAACTTGCGATATGCAGTGACTGGTATCGGCACTCCGACACCCACTGCCACGGGCAGGCAGATCCACACTTCTGGTGACGGAGAAGGTTCTGAAGGCAAGCCCGGGAAGCCCCCAAGCACAGGACTTCTGCGGACATTTTTGGCGCTTGGGTTTAACTTGCGCTTGTTCGATTCCCGCTTACCAAGGCCTGAATGTGCTCGGCACAGACAAAATCTGGTCACGGCTAGGAGGTACGGGAGCTTCATGGATACTGGCACAATCTGAAGTCTTAAGACATAAGACTTTGGCTTACGGCTGCGAAGCTTCTTAAAATATGTAAGCTACCTCCCCATGACCGGCATCATCGGAGTAACGTGCAAAACTGCAAACCGCTATTACGCACCTTCTCCACGTTGATCTCGTGACATGTCCATGACACGGGCATCGCAAATCGCTCTGGGTCTGCGATACCGGAAGGTGTACGACAGCACGCTTGAACCAATCCCTCAAGATCTCGCGGCAAGCGACCAGCATCTGCAGGTAATCTCTGGAGAATATGATGCTTGTCCCCGTGACCACCTGTCATGGTCACAACGGCGTGCAGCATGCGAAAATGATGCACGCGATTCTAAAGGCTCGAACCTTTTTTGTCAAAGCGAGGAGGACTCTTGCTGTTTGGGTCTGGATCTAGCATCGACGACTTCGCCCGAGCCAAGTGCACGGGCAAAATCGTCAGCGGCAACTCATACTGAGTGCGTGGGATGCCGGAGAATGGCCGGCAAGAGGCTGCCACCCTCCGCACATGCACTCGCGTCTTTACATCAGACTCTCTCTGCATGCCCGGACATCTGAGCACGAGACAAGGGCCTCAATTTCTTCAGACCACCACTCGCAGAATCTCAGCTTCCTCAAGGCAGGGATACATGATCAGTTCTACCACACAGCAATATGCACACACACACACCAAAAAACAAACATACACACACAGACACACACACGCATGCACACACACACAAACACACACACACACAGACACACAGAGACAGACAGACACAGACACACACACACACACACCCGCGCGCGCGCGCTCTCTCTCTCCCTCTCTCTCTTTTTTTCTGTCTGTGTCTGTCTCTCCCACCGGCACACAGCTGATCATGCTGTAGGCTGGGTTCATCAAAAGTTTAGGACGAGGCAGGCACTGACCAGGTCGTCTTTTGTCAACAGAAGATTCGTACATGCAGGCAATGTGAAGGCATGCGATATGGGATATTACCGTGCGCAGCAGCGACCAAGCATGGCCAAGGCTAAATGTGCCAACAAGCTGCGCGGCTTCAATCAACCCTAAAAGCCCGAAGCCCTACACCCTA